CTTAATAATTGTCCTAGCAGGCTATAATTACATTCGTTCGATTCCGTAGGCGATAAGGAACAATTTGTATATCTCAGAATTTCGGAAAAGTGCATAGTTTTCGAGAAAATCGAGATTTTAGTTTTTCGTAGTTCCGCCGCTCGCCGCTAGATGGACGACACATGTACCGTTGTGGACCGAATTCTACAAAAATTGATTTCCTAGCTTTATTAGGCATCAAAACGCATCGAACCCTAATAGAAATTTGTTTCTAAATGCCTCAGGAACCATACTGCGTCGACAAAGTGCCGAAATATTGCACTTTGCATGTGCAGTACAATTGACATAGGCGACTCAAGTATGTATCGCAATGCTGACACAAAATAATTAATTACTCATTACCCGAACATTATTTATGAACTGTTATGATCGAACCATGTAAATAATGCATTGCTGACCATTCTAAAATACTAACCAGGATCGGCAGTATTGGCAGGAGTATATCCTCTTTTGAAACTTCTAGGCACCGCCCATTCGGATGCAACGAGTACATCATGATACGGTTGATACCAAAAATCGTAGCCAAAAGCAGCTTTCTTCTCGCCGACCGTCCACGTGCCTTTTACTTCAAGAGTTTGAGCGTCGATACAAAGAAAATCTCCCAAGGCATCGTCGTTTGGTTTACCCATCGTGGATATCATGATATGCCCGGTTGGAGCGCAGTGGGAAGTGTGCAAAGTCGATACTCCATGTTTGTGTACTTCACTCGCTTCCAGTACCTTATAAACAAGAACTTGAGCTATTAGTCAATGTTCAACGTTTGGTGATTCTTTTAAATGCGTTCTTTTTTAATTCGAGTTCGAATTGCATGATAAACGAACCTTTTTGATAGACGGGGATCGCTCATTGCTAGTGTCGATAAAGTAGACGCGATCCGACACCAAACAAGGAAGCACCAACGTATCCCGTTTGCACGGTTTATCGTGGCAGCTGCTACAGACGTTCCAACCAGAGTGATGCAGTTCGTCGCCAACGTGGGGCATCCGCAGTTTGTGGACAATCTATAAAAAATAAAAACATTGTAAGAAGAAAGAGACAAGGCTTTGTCTGGAGTCTGATGCAAGGAATTTTTTTGTTTTTCTTTTTCGGAGTCCGAGTCCGCACCCCTCTGTGATCAGCTCAGAGATAAAATCAAACAAACAGAATTACGTTCCCACCTTACAGTAATCGTTGCTTTCAGGGTCCACGTCGACGGTGCATAGAACATCAGCTTTTTTTGGGTCTGTGTGAATGCAAACGACGTAAAGGAGCTTCTCGCGCGGGCCTTCCAGCATCGCCGCCTTTGGCGATCTATAGCCAGGACCCAGACAACTCGAGCAACCTGAAATTTATCGTGGTAAAAAGACGATCCATTCTGCACGTCATGGTGACGGTCTCTACTGTACCTTTGTTTTTTAGCATGTTGCCACCTATTGCGAGGACCGCGACACCGTATGTGTAAGACCGATCGAGAAGATGGGACACGTAGTCTTCAGAGAACGAAAGCGGAGTCGACTACTTCGGGGAAGTGATGGAGAAAGAGTCGTGGATAACGGTGGCAATTGCGACGCGATACGAACGGCCTCAACTCGATTGGAAGGGGACTCATATTTGCGATAACCGTGTATGTTTAGATTCGGTAGCTACGGTCGAATCGGTCGAATGTATCGTCACTTACGTTGATTCGATAATTTCTATTCGCAGTTTCGCTCGCTATATTCGAACGATCAGGATATGTATTCTAAGCAGTGATGCGCAGTCGCGGATTTCTGGTACATATTAAGTAAAGCAGCATTTCAACGACGTACTCACGCTTCTTAAGTATAAGGTTAGGCCCCAGAAGAGCACATCTTGGAAATTTTAGAAAGGGAAGAAAGTTTCGAATGAAATAAAATGCTACATAAATATTAATAAAATTTATTAGACGAATACAAACATTTGCTGTGAGAATAAGAGAACAAAATATATGAGCATACATTCTTACGTAGTATAAATATATTTATATATTTTGTTACAGTTTTTAAAATAGTAGATGATTTGTAAAAGTACGCCACTTTCATACGTATAATGTTGCACTCAATGTACAGTCATGGTGGCACATGTCTAGCTGTGACGTCGTTCATGACACGCACACAACTCTTAGTGAGGAAAAATCCCGCAGCAGCGCATCACTGATTCCGAACGGACTTTTCGCGCATTTCAACTACGCTAGTAAGCTCCGTCACTCATGTTGCTCCCTGTCGTGACGCACGTTCATTCATTTATCATATATACGGTAAATAAAATATACGAATAAAGATGTTACGCGAGCACGAACGTCGTGATTCATTTATCAAGACGAATGAAGAGTAAGAGGGTAGGAGGTTAAGAGGTAAACGATTCGTTGTCACGATACAGCGGTTGGATTCCCCGATTACTTTCAATTTTCGCGTGCATAACCTTGAAGATAAAGCATTACAAGACAAGTTTATATTTGTACAGTCCTCGAGACGCTGCACGGTGACTAGTTCATTTCGAGAGGAGCACTAAACGTAAACTACAACGTGCGTGCCATGTGTCCCGACACGCGTTATTTTCAAGGTGTAATATGCTCAATCTCGTTGTTTTTCCTCTTATCAGAGCTCGACTTCCGGCTTTGCGCAAATATCGCGCACATCAATAGATTATCACGATGTAATCTGATCAATCGCGCCAAACGACTTTTCGCTAAATTCGTCTGCGTCGTTATACCTTCGTATCCCGAGTCGAGTCTATCCAGCTGCACGCTGACGTTGTCGATCGCTTCGAGTAACATCCCATACTGTTTTTGTAGCTGAACTTGATGCGTCTTCGAGACTAACAGGGTCGCTACGCCGAGGACGATGAGTATAACGACACAGAATCCGAACAGAATCCTTTGGGACAACGTTGTCATCACCCGCAATTATTTTCCATACATTCATACTTTCAGAATTCTCTTCAAATTATCGACGAATCGTTATCTCTTGAATCGAAGTTTTTCCTTTTCTTGTTTACTGACTGTAATCGCGTGACTGTTAATCGATAATCCTCCGCTTGCGATTTACGGAACGCGGAGGAAACAAAAATGTACGAAAAAGAACGAAACGGGCGAGTACTGTTGACTTCTTTGAATCGCACTGCTTGACACGATGAATCCGCGGCGGAGACTTTTCCACCACGCTAAATGCACGATTCCCAAATTTTCGAGTTAAACGAAAACCGTTCCGCTTTGTCGTTCTTTTTCTGGCACAACGCCCACGTTTTTTGTCTATTATTAAAAGGATGCGTGGTATGATACAGTCGCGCATATTTCCATGCGTTTTTTAATCGCCTCGTCAATTTTCGATGCGTGCTTCCGGTGCATTTTTCTTCTGGACAGCATAGTGCTTATATTTAATAATAACTTATAGGTATTTACATACTAGTCATTCCACTTTCTTTCACAAAACTATTTACTAAAAAAATTTTCTTATATCATAATAGTAGTGAATTTCGTACTGAAGACATTATGCTAAAATACTGCTGTAGAATACTACTTTCATGTTATAATATATTATCAAATTAAGTTAATGTCTCTTCGATTCTAAAACAAGTTTTATTATATGTTCAAATTTAAAACAAGATGTCACGTATTATAATGTACTGTTTTTACTTTATAAAATATGCTAATAGTTTTGTGAAAAACAAGTGGAACACCCTGTACGTGCAGCATTCCGTTACAGAAGTTCAATTAGTCTGTCTTTCTACTCACAGATGGCTACAGCCTTCGAGGTGCACGAATCAATCGGTTTCTGTTAATTTTCGTTCGATGGTGCCACTATTTACTTTTCGGGAGATTATTTTGAAAAATAATTTCATTATGCAAGTAAATTTTGTTGATAGAAGATTGTAGTTTAGAAAGTAGGTCGAATTAGCAACCGATTACTACCATAAACGGAAAGCTACTTTAACAGCGTTGCGATTATACAACCGACGATCTCCGTATGTCTCGAATGCGTTTAGATCGATCAGAAAAGGCGATAATGAATTCGATGGAACAAGGAAAGCGTGTTAAACGCTCGTTCGACAAGATAGATTGGCGCGTTCAAGACCGGTTCGGCGTATTTACATATACTTACAGACAAAGGGACATTCGTGTCGCGAATCGGTAGCAAAAGTCGATGAGCCGAAATCGGAAGATGTAATGGACGGTCATAAAACGAGGGCGTATCGTCGAGAATAATTAGATGTTGGTGGATATCGGTATAGAAGCAGAGTCGCCATGAGATTCCTATAATTTTCAGGGTTCGCGTTTCACGAAATAACGATTAGGTGGGTGGGTGTCGGTTTTCACACCCGTGGCTCGGTGGGGTCCCTTCGGAGAATGTAAAAAAGGTCAGAACTCGAAACCGGTCCCGATGAATCTTTCTTATACGGTTTACCCTCCCGTCCGCTCTCGTCTCTCGCTTCACACCGAATAAGGATCGAGCGTGTCAGGAACGTAGCTATCGCCGTCGAACACCTTTCCTCGGCTCCATTTGTTTTTTGCTCGATTCGTTTCATACTACAACAGCGTCAAATATCTCTGTGAACAATAACGAAAAGGAAATTGCGTCCAACTGAACCGTCTCGATCAACTAAAGACATTGTTATTTCTATTCCGATCGTTCCTTTTGGGTCGATCGGCGGTAAGCTTTGATCGAACACCGGTGGCCCCGATTCACAGCTTTTACCGATAAAGCTGCCTCTAAAGATATCGCTGGCCCGTCGACAGCTAGTCCTCGGACGAAAGGGAACCGTTATCGCGCCGCGGAGTGTAATCCACGGTTACGCGTTCGATTGGACCAATTTATTTCGTTCTCGTGTAACTCGATTTACGTTTCCGTTTATGGTTCACGTCTTCTTTTTAGCGGAGCAAAAAAAGCAAACCGCCGTCGTTCCAGACTAGCCGAGGATCAAAGAAACTCGTTTTAAAGAAACAGCGAACGGTAGATTGCAAATAGATTGTGAACGAATAGTCTCGTAACGATGATCGATGCTCTCGTACTTAAACGATCAAAAACAACTCAATGTACTTATCTGGACGATCAAAAACATGCGTACTCCTTTCGCGGGATTACTGCATAAATTGCAGATTTATACACTGTTGCAAGAAACACGGTTAGGTTAGATGTAGTGCACGCTTTTTCTGTTAGAGACATAGCTTGTTAATTTTTTAGCTTGTTTTCATGTTTATAACTGTTTGTATTTTTGAGTTCTTGAGTTTTTGAGATCTTGAGTTTCTGAATTCTTAAGTTTTCATATGAAATTCTTAAATTTTTAAGTCTCAACACTTCTAAAATTCTGAATACATTTTCCAACTTTCCTCATCTTAAATTTCTAGATCCTCAAACTAAGCCTTCCATAAATTCCTACATTCTCCATAAATACTCAAATCTCAAGATCTCCAAAAAGCTCTCAAATTTTACTCCATTAAAATATTGTAAAATACAAAGTGTCAAATCAAGGATTGACCTTGTCTCAATCTCCTTGTGCAGGCTTTTTCTGTAAGGGACATAGCTTGTTAATTTTTTAACTTGTTTTCATGTTTATAACTGTTTGTATTTTTGAGTTCTTGAGTTTTTGAGATCTTGAGTTTCTGTATTCTTAAATTTTCATATGAAATTCTTAAATTTTTAAGTCTCCACACTTCTAGAGTTCTAAATACATTTTCCAACTTTCCTCATCTTAAATTTCTAGATCTTCAAACTAAGCCTTCCATAAATTCCTACATTCTCCATAAATACTCAAATCTCAAGATCTCCAAAAAGCTCTCAAATTTTACTCCATTAAAATATTGTAAAATACAAAGTGTAAAAATCAAGGATTGAGACCTTGTCTCCGTTGATCGCTATATTTTCTGTGAAACCAGACTTGTTTATCGTCCGCGCGAACCCGATACTCGTGTTGCGGTTTAACAAAAGCAGGTTGGCTGGTCAAAGACGATTTGGGTTCGGCCTGGACCGTGCTTGTTAACTTCCATGCGTGTATTCGGCCTTTTCTGGTTGAATAAATCGTCTGAATAAATCGTCCGCGTTCGAGCGAACGAAACGCGTCACGTATACCTTCAGCTGGTGCGCCCCTTGTAACTGGCGCCGAATGGATCGAGATTCTCTATCTCCCACATACGCACAGGCGTGTTTATACGCACGAACGCGCGACCATACAAGCGTCGTTTTCTTTCTCTGCAGGTTTGTCTCGTTCCTTTTCTCCCGATGTGCCAAACGATCGGAAACCCCGAGCTCCTTTCGCTTTTCTTTCCATCGACGCTTCTTCGATCTCTTTTCAACCGTGCAACGGTAACGATGCGACACCGCTACGCACACAATCGCTCTTTGCGTTGACGAACGCGAGAGCGGACTGTCAATAAGTCGGTAAATTAACGAGTCGACCGATGAATGAACCATGGTTCCTCGGGTAATCGTCGACGACGCGTTTCGCGATATACACTGTTACGATGATCGTATTGCTACTTTATCTTATCCTCCGTAGTTCTCCTTGAGTAAGCGCGGTTATGGCGCCGGCCTCGCTTTTCTCTGCACAGATAGTAAGCGCGAGATCTGTCGAAATTTAAATTATTTCTTTAAAAAATTCGACGTCCACGAATTCCTTCATAACCTTCGTTATTATTAACCGAAAGTTACGAAGGTTAAATAAAAAAAAGACGAAGAGAAATTTTCATGTAAGAGACGACACGATTAGACATGAATCTGGGTCATTCCGTGTTAGAAAGATACGACTTTCCAGATATTCAGACCAAGAGTCTCGCCTTTGCATCAGTTTCATCTCATATTGAAAGTACAAGTTTTTCAGTTTGAGTGGAATAGTCTCTTTAATCTCTTAGTTCGAGTAATTTGATTTTGACAGTAAGGTGAAATTATATGTTTCACGCACGTGCACGTGCACGTTAAGTTTTCAAATCGCAGCGTGACGCGCGCCCCGTGCTGCGCGTACCGCTTCGTTCGATCGACGAAACGGCGCCGTTCGAGCGCGAATGCACCACTTTCGAGACAAGCACCACCGCCTTTCTACCCGGCTCTTCTTCTTTTTTCATCTCGTTCTCTTTCCATCCCACTTCCTTCGGGTCGTTCGACTTCCCCTCCCCTTTCTCGTCTCTCCTCCTCTCTATTCATCGTTCTATCGGATTCGAGTTACAGTACTGGTCGATTTTCTTAAAAAGTTGGCCAAATCTCAAATTTTTATTAGCTCTTTGCCAAGGTTAATATTTATAGGTTTTTTAAAAATACTTTTATGTAACTTAGCCCTATAATCAAGCAATGATTATAAAATAAAATAATTATTAAACTATATGAAACTAAATAATTATTAAAATCTAATTGGGTTTGAAATGTGATAAACGGGGAATGCATTTTGGTCAGATGTCTATCGATCGATCATCGATTAACGAGTCAGAAAAACGGGCAGGTGTACGAACCGGATTCGTATTTCTGGCATTCGAATTATAATAGTTGAGATAAAACTAAATACTAGGTATCCAGTTCCAGCGCGTGACCACGCGGCCGAGCATAAACGTTCGCGCCTTTTTCTCTCCTTCTTCGTTCTCCGTATGGCTCCCCATGATTCGTTCCGGAGCGGGTCGGTGCTAACCTAACCATGGTCGATGAGAGAGAAAAGGTTCGTGGAGGCCGCGCTCGACGCGGCACGGTGGCGCCCGTACGAAAGTACTCGCGAGAATGACGGATCAGGAGCGTAGCTCGAAATTTTACGTCCCACTCGAACGTACGAATTCAACGCACATGCGCAGAACGCCTCTCGATTAAAAAATGTACAATTTATAAAAAATATTTCAATAGTTATAACACGACGAAATGAAAAAGGTATAAATGAAAAGAGAAGTGTAAAGAAAAAGAAAATCTCTAGGGGATCGGACGAGTTGTACGCGCAACTTTTTGTTCGGAGTTCGATCTTTGTCCGTGGATCGAACGAGGAGGCGGGTTACTCCGAATTCGAGATACGTCATCGATACGCCGCCCGTGTATCGTTGTCTCAGTCCATTGGTATATTGTGAATCGGCCTCTTCGTTCAAGAGCCGACGCGCTCCGATCTGCCCTCCACTAGTTACTAGTCCTTTCCGTAAACCGACGGAAACACCCGAGGTAGGACGGCCTGCGCTTTGCGAGCGACGCGAACCGCCCTACGTCACAGTGAAGTATGTGCTCTCGAGTGTAGAAAATGGCTGCGCTCTCCGCTACCCCGGGTCGGCGCGGATGTAAATACGGCCTGTGGATCAGCTTCGGAGCGTTTATCGCGAGATTCGTTGGCGGTGAGTAAATGCGTGGTTCGTTACGTGATCGTGGACATTGAGTGTTCGTTTCGTGTCCAGGCGGTAAACGCGTAACGCGCGGTGTACCACAGAATCGATCGGATGCGGATTTTTGGTACGATTGATGCTCGCTATCGACTACCGTTCGCCTTCTGCTAAACGGATGATGCCCTCTTCGTATATCCCCCTTCCCCCTCAACCCCTCCCCTTCCCCCAACTTCATTACCCCTCCC